GGTGCGTGCTCCCGGGGGGGTGGGATGGCCCCCCGCCTCTGAGGTGGGTCAGAGTTTTGAGTTTTGGGGCCTTGTCTGTGGTGAAACTTGTGACGACGAGGCCGAGCAGGGACCAGCCCTGGGTGGAAATGCTGGAACCGTCGCTCTGGGGTTGGCGGCTGTGGCGTTGCCTCGGCTCCGTCCCTCCTCCTCCTCACCTTGTCTTGGGCCTGCCCCCGTAGGCGAGAAGGACGACTATACCGTCTGGCTGGCTCACTCCAGCCAGCCCGGCAACCACACCGACGGCTGCGTGCTGGGCTTCAAGGAACAGTACCTGCGTCTCCGCAAGTCCTCTGTCTGTCAGAATGGCCGGGACTACCTGGTGGTCAAGCAGCCGTCCGTCTGCCCGTGCACGCTGGAGGACTACCTCTGGTACGGCAAGCATGGCCAGGCCACACGTAACGCCCACGGGCTCTTGGCCCCAGCTGGCGCGCTCGGCTGGTGGCAGGGGAGCTGCCTCCGTGGGCGTCTGGCCCGGTCCGAGCACAGGGCTTGTCCTGCTGTCTCAGAGCATCGCCCGGCATGGCAAGGGCCACGCTGCTCCTGGCATTGCACCGTGGGTGGTGCCGCTAGCGGGGGAGGGACCCGTCTGCAGCACACGTGGGCGTGCCGTTCGCTGGCCCTCAGGCGTGGAGCTGCTCGGCTGGAGGAGTCGAGGTGCCCCCAGGGTGCGATGGCGCGGTGCCGTTCGCCCAGCCCCGGCGTGTCGCTCACCATCTCCGCTCTATGTTGTTGCGCTGCAGCGATTTTGGCTATTTCCGCCGTGAAAACCAGTCGTGGTGCGAGGAGCAGCCGGAGCTGCAGGCCCACGACCTGGAGTTCTGTCTGAACGGCCGGCAGGAGCTGCTGACGACTCGAGGGTAAAGCGGCTTTTTGGCAGGATTTGCTCAGTGAACGCTGGCCCTCGAGAGGGCGGCACCAGTATGGACGGGACTCCTGGGGCCGGGGGGAGAGCTCGCTCTCATGGCCCCATAGGGTGGGAATCGGGACCTGGGTCCTGTGCCAGGCTCTGCCACCATTCCCGCCAGGCAGTGCTGGGCTTTGGGGGATGTGCTGCTGGGGGCTGGATGGGCCCTGCCCGGTGCTGGGTTTGGGGCAGGCTGTTCCAGTGGCACCGGGGCGGGCCGGAGACCTGCCGGCGGGTCCTG